AGTGTCCTGTCAAAGCTGACAAGTGAGTTTATTCAAGGCTTGCAATTTAAACACAAGACACAGTTATCTGATTTCCTCATTACCTATGGTGTCAGTTGAGGATAAGGAGAATGACATACGATACCTTTAAAGCATTTTTTTTCAAACTGCAAAGTCGCCTGGTGTTGGTAGTGTTTAAAAGCTGTGTTTTCAAGGTAAAATCTACTGTCCAATCACTGGCATAATGCTCTTCAGGATGAAGGTGCCATTAGCATGTAATGTTTCATGGAGAACAGCTTGGTATTCATAAAAATGTGAAGCTCTGTGTAAAACTTTCTACCACTTTTCCATGTATTTGATAATCTGGAATAAGGTGACACTCCCCAGGAATCTTTTTTTTAGATCTACGTAGAAAATATTTATCTGTACTTATAATATAGAAAATAATGTTAGATATGGATATCTCAAATAGTAAAAGTGTCTTAATTAAGGCATTCAGTTTTTATGTAGGCTGATCTAGGTTACATATAGATTTAATTAAAGGTATTTGCAATGGACATGAACTGAGGTAAATTTGACCAATATCCCAGATCAGTAATGATAATTAGGAGCCCAAACTAAAAGTATAGCTTCTGATTAACTCACATTTAATTCTTTCTTTTCTCCTTGGAAAAATAAGACTGGAAAGTTAACATTGTTTTCTGGATTGCATATTAATTCACTGTGTTCTGGAAGACTATTGTTTTAGCAGCTTTGTAACAGTTGGATACAAGTAATTCTAGCAACACAATATTTTGGAATAAAGACTCATCAATTTTCTTGTAAAAATTTCAAACTTTCCTGCATTATTTTCCATTTTTAAATCCATTTAAACATTTATATGAAGTAAGAACCTATAAACTCACTGGAAGCCGAAACAGATTTTTACTGTCCAGGAGCTCCTGATATTTATGCAGTTTTCATTGATGATTTTTCATTACCTCTGCATTCTGTGAGATTCTTTTTAAGGTGAATAGCTTCTTTCTCCTCTCTTATTCTTCAACAATTTTGAATGATTTTTTATGGTTCTTTATAGATTTTTTTTCCAAGTGTGAAGTAGAATCAAAGGCTCAAAGAAGCAACCGTAAATATCAAACTTTATCAATGTAGGTATTGAATAATGAAAACAGGTGTGTGGGAGCGCTAGTCACATAGCCTGCTGTGACTGGAGGAAGGGTAAGTGAAGTAGTTGGAAATGCAGGAAATGGGACCTTTGCCTTCCCTTCCTTCTAATCCCAAGTCTTTGTTCCTCCTGACCAAGTTGAGGTGGGCACTTTTCTCCGAGGGTATTCAAGTCTGACCCCAGGACACTGCTTTGGCTCTCATAAAGAAACGGGGAAATATCAGAGAGCCTTCAGTCTGGGCTGCCCAAAGGGCTGTGTCTGCTAAGTAAAATGAAAAGTATCCCCAGGGAAATAAGTTCAGTTCTGTTGAATGGAGACAGTGAGTATTTGCTGTGATGYTCCCTAATAGGAATTGCTGCTGAAAGCAATGCTTTCAGTCAGGTGTGGGAAAGGAGGATGMCTCTTTTCCATTCCCAGCTGCATCACTATTTTTCAAAAGCACTTTGGGTCAAAATGCTGTCTCAGGGTGGAATTTCATCTTTCCAAAATGCCCCTGTCTTGTTCTATCTGATGCAAAAAGCTTCTCTGAGTTGCCTTAGTCATGCCCAGTAATGTTCTCCCAGGTCACTGGTGGACACGTGCTGACCACACTGCTGTCTGAAAGGGGACTCGTTACTTTCCAAGTAACAAGTCTAGTACTTGTCTTCTAAAGAAAGATGGCTCATGTCAATTTTTTTTTCTTTTATCCTGATGATTCGGTATCCCTCTGAAAAGAAGCACCAGCAATTGTTTATTCAAACTTTTAGTAGTCAGTCATCTGGCTATTAATAATTCCGTGAKTTTTAAATTGGTCACGAGCCACTTAAGAAATCCAACAGAATTTTGTCTATTCTTTCATTAAACTAAAAACCTAGACCAGTAATACAACGTAAATGGAATAATTGCCTGTTATCCAACTTTCATGCTATACCTCTCATGTGTAATTGATGCGGGCTGCCTGATCTCTCTGTGGAGTAGAGGACAATGTAGAAATTCAGCTTAGTTGTGCCTTTCCTGTGTGGTATTCTCAGGACATAGACTGCATAATTGACTGCAGACATCTTAGTTTAAAAGCCATCTTTTAAGTTTCATCCAGTCCTAGTAATACGTGTACAGTCCCATGGGCTGCATCCAAGGATTATGCTAATTTTATTAGTAACTCCTCTTGCTTTAATTAAACTGTATAAATTCCCATCTGGTCACTGTTGTGCCAACACCCTTCTTTTAATTTTTATTTTAATATATAGAAAATCTGTGGTTTTCCACTTCAGTTCTGAATTCCTGAATTTATCTATTGTGTTTTCCATGTGACATAAAACAATTTTCAGGGGTGAAGGGAACTTCAAATTAATTAATGGGTTTTAGGAAACCTCTGGGTCATAACAGAGACTTAAGTTTCTAAAGTTGTCTGGGTCTTTTTAGGAGCAGGTAGTCAAAGTAACTTCCTCTCTGAAATCACCAAGCTATATGGTGCTGCTCAAAATACCTACAAGCAAGCTCTGTATTAACATTTATTGTGTTTATACCACAAAGCAGAGCGATATGAATTCCTTAGTGGACTGTTAATTTACATGTTATACGCTTTCAAATATTTCCAAAAGAAATGTGAAATGATTAGTAATCCGTTCACATGCTCGCAAAATRTTATTAGCAAAATGCCTTGGGCAGTGCGTTATGTTGACTAAAATTGATAAATTTTTATTTTAAAACTAAAGGAACTCCCACTGCCCCTGACAAATTTTAGGACMGGACCAGAGCCCAGTCCTCCTGGTCACATCACTTCTCAAGGTATGTGTTGAGCTGAGGGGCAAAAAGACCAAGAACCCCACAAACAGCAACATCCCCTGCCCAGAGCAGTGACCCAAGGTTTGAGTGATTCTGAAAGCTCTTCTGAAAGCCTCAATAAAAGTCTTCTATGGGGTCCTGCCGTTTAAATTGGCTCCTTATCTATAAAATAACCATGAGGAGGTGATTCTGGTGTTTATCCCTTCTTCTGCTTATGTACTTTTTAAAGTGTGTATGTTACTCTGAAGAAGTCATGCGTGGTAGTTCTTTTTTTCTTCTGCATAACTGTCTGTCACCAGCTGTGTGTGGTTCTGACAGAGCCAAAGCTCTGGACAAAATACCTCATATTCCTCAAAGTGTTGGAGTTGTTATTTTTTTTTAAAGAGGACCAGAGAGCAAGCTATTTAATGGTGTTTGTCAATGTATCTCTTTTTGAATAATAGTTTCCATGCCTTGCTGACTCAAATATAACATGACACTTCCTCCTAAATGCCAATTATTCTGTCTGGAAGAGTTACCCAACTCCTCAAAGTTTCACACCAGACTCACATGGGATATTAAAATTCAATAAAAACGGTTGTGATAATAAGATTGTKCAAAAAGCCTATGTGAGAGCTGAATATTGTTTGTATGGGTGCAACATACATTCCAGCAATTTACATTTACAGCTATGAAATAATTGAATAAAGAAGTGCATCATAATTTTCTTTTTTAGCACATAGGTGAATTATTTTGCCAACATGTGAAAGGGTGTTCATATAACATCATGGTGCTTTGTGCTAGAGAAAAACAATTACAGTGAATAAGGTAGAATGGCTCTGTTATTGCAGTACATAAGATTTTGATTACATACTGCCAAGATTCATACCAGTCTAGTAGTTGTTGACAGATAAAGTAACAAAAATGAAACTCATTTATTTTTTCTTTATTGAGACCTCAAGGTAAAGCAAATTTTCAGTTCTTGTACTTACTACATTGAAGGAACAGAGACTGACAGTCAAAATGTGCCAGTCCAGAAATATAAATTAAACCTAGTTTCATATAAAAGTTTCATTTAGTCTCTGAAAAGGAGCTGCTGCTTGGATTATTTTTGATCCTGAAACAAATGCACTGTAGAAAACTGTAGACTATCTTGGATGAATTAACCCCCTCATACATTTGGCTTTTATGTATGTTCCAGGATATAGATCCATGTCTATTCAGGCAATTAAAAATTTTTTAAAGACTTAATTATTTTACATTTTTCCCTCTGTTTAATAATAATTTACTTTGTTTACAAAGCCAGCGAGCATGTAKATGGTTTTAATACAGTGTAGCACTTTTGCTGAAGAAAAGATTTATTTTGAGGAAAAAGCCCACCCTCTCTCCTTGTGTGAAGAAAATTCTTCTGGCTTTTACTGCGAGTTCTTCTAGGCAGCTAGATAGTGTATTATTTCTTTATAATTCCAACAAMTTACTTTTTTGTATTTTTTTTTTTATTTTCTAAAGAGCAGATAAAAATAGTGTTGAAAYAGCCGAGTACTAAAATGAGTGGGTTTATCCCATCAAAATCTTGGATTAGTTACCTAGTCCAACTGAAYATAATTGCTGTTCAGATTAATGAGGCAGTATCCTAATATCTCCTCTGTAATTAAACACTTCTGTGGTTCAATACAGTATTAAAGATGCACCAGACTTTGAAACCTCAGTGGTGAAATTTAAAACTGCTGAAACTGGAGAGGTCAGCTGTGAAACACAAATTCCTCTGCAGTATGGAAAATTCACTTGTACTAGAGTGTTTCAATAATAATTTGACTTATATTTGGGATGCTGTATTTTTAAAAATTTTTCTTTCTGCCATCTAAAGTTGAGAATTTTTTCTCCTTAGTTCCCAAGGAACAGTAACATAAAGTGCACTTGTTTCCAGAATTMCCTTTTCTGACCTTTCACAAGATGATAATTGCAGGACCAGTAGGCTTAGAGGATTGTTAAAAAAATTAAGCTTGTAAAGTAGCAAAAAATGCCCCTTTGCTTGCTGGTGTCGATTTCAAAATTAACATTTTAGTTCATGTGCTTCTAATAATCGCTGACCCTTACTTCATGTGCTTTCCACAGGAAATGAATACAGCAGAAATTACTTTGACCCGTTGATGGATGAGGAAATAAACCCAAGGCAGTGTGGGATGGAGGTCAGTGAAGAAGGTGAGGCAGAATTAAGTATGTAATTTTGGTGTCAGAATATTCTTTTCCATTCATGAAAATGAGGTGACAGAGATCACATATGCAGTTCTATTTAAATATTGAGGTTTACAATTTAAATTCTAAGCCTTAACTGCTCTGGACTTGATAGGCAGTGTACATAGACTTTGATCAAGGACAGTAAGTTAATGGGAGGGTAAAAATGAGACTGTGCTGTATCCACTCTGCTACTGTAGCAAAATTAAGCACCTCCAAGAGCATTGTTTACACGGTGTTCTTTTTTAAGCAATGAAGTTGTTCCAGWATGAGTGCTAAAGTGTAGCTTTTCCACAACCCTGCTCCCAAAGTCCTCCGTGGGCAGCAATTTTATTGTGGAGTTGAATGTGTGTTTGCCTAACAGAAGGAAACCCCAGAGTGCATAGAAGTGCTTGAGGAGGCTTTTTTTTTTTTTTTTTTTTTTTTTTTTTTTTTTTTTTGCCGAGATATTTAGTTTTGCTCTCTGTGGGCGATAGCGACTAGTGGGAGGGTGTGACTCTGCAGAGCTGGAAGAGCAGAAGTTTTGCATAGGTATGAGAGAGATTAACCAGGAGGTATTGTCTAGAGGAAGAAATTCTCCTCTGCTGTCATGGCTTTCAGATAAAAAAGGGTGGGAACCGGGCCTGCCTGAATTTGCATGGGCTTAAGTAAGAACATCATCACGGGAATGAAGCGCTTAGCTGTGCACGGAGCGCTTTGGCCCGGCTCCTGTTGTTAAGCACTAACAAGCCGACAGCACGCGAGAGCCAGGTCTCCATGTCACCTTGGGAGCCCTTTGCTTTTCTAAAGTCTGTGTTGGTTTATACTGCAGAGACTCTCTAGAAGAACAGTTGTAGTCAGTTGTAAAAAAAAAAAAAAAAATTATCTATTGTAGAGTATCTCGAAAGTTGTTCACTTCTGAAAGTCATGGGAAACTTTGAGCTCATATGGAGGTTCTAAACTTTTGAGACAAAAACTTGTGTGACTGATAAAAACAGGCTCTATTGCCTAGAACTAACTTCAATTTCTGTGTTCTGGTGGAAAAAAAAATAAATCAAGGTTTATCAAAGTTGAATTACATCTAATCCAAATAATTTCCCYATTTGTTGTGTAGCAGAGCAGTGTAATACTTTGGAAGTCAACTTCTGGCTCAGAGATTTTAAAGGAAAGATTTTTTTTCCTGTTGGTCCTGCTTTGGTTCATCTTATGAAAAGGCTTTATGACTCATGATCTGCTTCATAACCAGAGAATGAAAAGCAGATTAGATTTATGTATCCACGCATGTGTGCCTAAAATCATGTACATAGAGACAGAGTGGTGACATAAGGGATATTCAGAAGCACAATTCCCATTGGGAGGAAACTTTCTCTTGACTGTATTGAAGAGGCTGAGTGATAACCTTAAATGCTGATTTTGCATTATGTGGTGTGGRTTTTATATAGTTATATAATATAATAATATATATTATAATATACGATACTATATATCAACTTCTAGAGTTTGGAGTGGAGAAGTGGTTTTAGTCAATTGCATATCATGCTAAACCTGAGATTAATGTGTGAAGAGCCATCTTTTGGCGTTTTCCCTTTTTCTCCCTGGCAAAATGTCACTCAGTTTGGGATAACCCTTGCTTTATTTAAAGTTTATTTGCAGCAGTACCAGCCWCAGGTTGGCTGTAGAGCAGTTCCAATGCTATATTTACCAGCACCTCTGCCAAGAGCAGGTCTTCTTCCTTGGAGGTATTCAAATGGTGCCTGGACATGGTCCTGGGCAATTTGCCTGTAGGTGGCTCTTTTTGAGCAGGTGGAAGTGGGCTAAATGGACTCCAGAGGTGCTGCCCTACCTTAACCAGTTTGATTTGTCAGTACTGAAAAACCAGGCTCTCTGTCTGGCTTCTTTTTCCTTGCAGAAGTGTTAAATTAGTGGAAGTACATTTGTATGTAGTGGAAGGAATTAAAAAGACAGAACTAAAGCTTGGTTCTACATGGTCATTCCATAATTGTAAACCATACGGGTTTACCTCCTCTTTCCAGCTAGCAAGAGAAAACCAGAAAAACATGAAGAAATCAAAGCACACCTTAATGTAAGGCTCTTCTTAGAACTTTAGAAAGCCAGGCTCAATGCCCAAAGAGAATAGCTAGTGAAAGCAAATCTTTGGCCAATAACCCTTCTTAATGGATTATTCTGTGAAAATTAAGATATTGGCAGTCATCTTTTCTATATTTGATAAATTWGATTTGTCCTGGAAATTTGTGTGAGTTCATAATGCCCTGAAAACATCCCATTATGGATTTGCTTRTTGCCTTTTCCAAGGGAACATTTCAATGTTGCAGGCTAAAAGAAATGTACAATATTCTGTACTCCTACAGAAGGTTTTGCAGAAGCCACCACCCTCTTTGAATTCTCACTGTGACTGAAAAACTTGGCTCTGAAATTTCATGGTCAAAAAAAAATAAATTCTTTGAGCCCTTAAAAAAACCACACAAGATTGCAGGTATCTGTGCTTCAATCCACCTGCCTTGCATGCATTTCTTTGGTCTTCTATCTTCCTGTCTTCACTGRCAACTTAAAGAAGTCAAGGTCTGGGAGATCTGGAGAGAAGATGGTCCTCATTTCTCATTTTTTCTCATTTTTTCCTTGAATATAGACTCTTTAAGTATTTTTTTTTTTTTCAGTCTTGTGAAAAAAGTTAAGTGTGCATGTAATTTGCTGCTTTTAAAAATCTGCAGTTATTGCTGGAAATTTGAATGACTGACCAGCCACAAATTCAAAATTCATAGAGTGCTGTAATGACTACTCATACTAGATGATGTGTTAGTATTATGGACAGCAGGATAAAATTTCTAATGAAGAACCAAAATCAGGTTAGAATAAACTCTGTATTTTGATTTTCATTAAGAGTCAATTAATCTTTCATTAAGAGAATTAATCTGGCAATTTGAATAGAAACAGTCATTTCAGATACTCTATTAGCAGAGTTAATAAACTAGTTTCAGTCCAKATCAACATACAATATTGCCCACCATTTAAAATTATATAACAATATTTTTTATTTTAAATTCTCTTTCACCAAACAAGCGACTGTAATTTTATTCTGAGCTAGGAAACTAGCGCTGTGAAGATTATCTTTAAGTGTCAAAGTATTTCCTAACATTTGTAATTTTATATTTATATTCACTTTTCATTAAAAATATTTTTTTTCCTGAAATACTACTGGAAGAAACTATAGTTGTTTCACTGTTGGTTTTTTTTTGAGATACTGTAAAATTTGATGAGCAAATTCTGTACTCAAAACTGATGAAGCTTCTGGATGAAGAAGACAAGATGCTGGACTTCCAAGGTAAATAACAAAGTCAATTTAATAMAGAAAAATAAAACTCTTTTGAGTCTGCATGTGGGGAGGACAGTGAGTAATCCATCCCCTTGAACTCAGAAGTSAAAGGGATGCTGATTTTCATGCTAGCCTGTAAGATCTTTTTTCTCCAAATGTTTTTGTTTTGAGTCATGTTTATGTGGTTTTAAGTGTAACTTMAGTGGCGTGCTTTCTCTAGATTGCTACACTGCATGTTGAATTCCACACTTACGAAAGAAGGCTGGAAATATCATTGCTTATGTGCTCAAATATAGAAATCAGAATTCTTATTTAAGCTGATAAATGGGTGGGCCAATTGTCAGATGGATGGGTCATGCGACACTGTCTCAGGTTATCTATACAAGAATTTACACTAACAGATGAGTAAGAAAATGTTCTCTGTGGCTTTGTTAAAAAATGCAAATTGATATCTATCTACAGTAAAAACAATGAAAAGAGATTTCTTCAACTCAAGCCAACAGCCTTACTTTGGTTTAACTTATTTTTACGGCAGTGCTTAAAATTTGGTTGATTCASGAGACTGTCACCATCACAGTCTTTGCACAAGGCCCATGTCTGCTGCTCTCCTCTGGTTCATCCCAAGAGGAGTGACATTTGTACAAGGCACAGATCAGAGGTGCCCTTGTGTTTTTTGCCTATCAYCCCTCTCYTTTTTCAGCARAGATCTTCTRTGCGAAAGCATTTTCTATCCTTTGKATTTGTGTGAGGTTCCTGTTGTGTTTCAGCAATACATTGTCAGAGAGACAGAGCAGGAGGCTGCCTATGGCAGCTCCAGGAGTTGCTCCTTGTTTTATGACTATTTAGTTTATAAGTAACTTTGTTCTAGAGGAGGTAAACGTTTTCATTTGCCTAGGGTTGCAAAACCTCTTGAACTGGCATTGGTCATATCAGCCACCTCTTTGAAACCCATTTKATCTCATTTTAAGTGCAAGGGGAAGAAGAGTGCAACCATCCCAACTAAATTAATGCAAACAGTTTAAGCAAAAACCTTTAACAATTTATTAGCTAGCTCTCTCAGTTGTTCTGTGTTAATGTAGAACTCCACATTGCTTAGAAAGATTGTAGCAGTGCTGCAGGTTGATTTTTCCTGTTATCACTCAGCTACATAGATCAAAATAAAAACATGTTTGGCTGTGAAGTCAACATCACTTGTGGAATGCTGACATGGGGTGTCTATCTCTGATTTTTATGTAGTCYCTGTCTACCAGAATTTATAGCATTTGTAGATAAATTGAACCTTGGAAGCACTTCTTTTCTTTCCTTTGGCTTTAGATGGGTCTTGGGCAACTGCCTTAGACTTGACCATTGCTTTTGGTGTGGCTGCAGTTAATTGAGATAAATTGGCTTTGTGTGCTTGGCCACTGCTAAGCAAGGGAACGAAGGAGTGAAGGGGGAAGTCTTCTCCATCCATCAGTGGTCATTCTCTCCTTCAGCCAGGTGCCCTAAAACATTTTACTATATTAGAAATATAATAGCATACCCAGTGTGCTCTGTGGACAGTGAACTCACACTGAGGCTGCTGAGGTTGCTGAGCTCACTGCTCACTGATTGAATTCTGGGGCAAGCAAATGCATCAGCATGTGTGTCTCACACTCCAGGGGCACATCACAGCCCCTTGTGTAGGTGTGAGGGCAGCAAATGGGGCACACACTGCAAGCCACTGCTGTGCCTTGGCACTTTTATGTCTTAAAAGTGCCATGATGGGTATCAGAGCTAGTCCTGTGGGTGAAGCTGCACACCGTTCTAGCTGAATTTATTACTTTTCTGTGCTTGGGCGAAGAAAATCCAGAGAAGAGAGATTTTCCTGGGGAGGTGAGGCTTGTGCAGGTTTCAYCTCTGTGAGCATGTACCAGGGTGTATTTATTTCTGTCTGTGTTTTTTCCTYCCAGTATTTGAACTTGTTGTTCACTTCCAAACCTTCTTTTTTAAACAGGGAGCAAGTCTCACAGGTATGACGTCTCCACCAGTTTTATTGAAGTGGGCAGTTGAGCAGAGCAGACAAGCATTATTAATGTCTCCACTGAGGAAAAAACTAATATGGGAGCATGACTATTATTAGGCATCAGAAATACCATAGAAAACTAGGATTCATTTGGTTCCACTCTTACAGAACTGCTTCATTTCTTCATTTGACCACTGAGCTGAAAAATCACGTAGTCGTACAGTCCTAATTAATGGATGATACCCAAAGGAGAGGAAAGAACATGACTCAGAATTCATATAATTGTATATTTAAAGCATTTTATCACTGAGTAACCTGTTGGTCACTGTTGTGATATGTGTTATTTGATGTTATATGGCAACTTAAAAGGCAATGTTTTTTTCTTTTTAAAGATATAGACTGTATTTTTTTACTTTGAAATTTTGTCAATGTAAGATTGTGATTCATGCACATTTTTACTGATGATATGTGAGTGCCTGTTGATCTAATTATTAAAGGTTCTTAGCTTTTGTATGGATGCATTCCTTTCCTTCATCCCAAGATGACTGAACAATAGGTTTCCKGGCAGTTTTCAAAGTCCCAACCAGGTATCCTCAGGGAAGCTTCTTTTTAGTTGTAGCTTGAGCAAAACTTTATATCACTGTTTGAAGCATGAACTATTTCAGTCTCTGGCACTACCATGAAATAGAATTTCTATTATACTTTTCTTTGGCAAGAACCAAAAAATCAAAGTGCCAAGTTTTGCAGAATTTTGATTGTCTGAAATTGATGCATGAGCCTTCAAGCACTGAACTTTTTAAAATACAATTTATACACTGCTTTCTAGAACCAGATAGCCAAAAATATTTTGCCATATGGAGTTTATAGCAACACTATGCATTCAAATCCATGCTGAGGTGTAGTCTGCTGCTGAATGTACACTTTAAATGATCATCTCAGTATATAAACTGCTGCTGTCTGATGGACAAATACAGGAGTAAATGAAGTCACAAGCACCCAAGATAATACCTGAGAGATTGTTTTAATTACAGCSCAGCATCTGCAAATACAGCCTGTGCTGAAGTGATTTGAACTACAAGGAAAGCACAACTCGCAGGGTTAAGCACACCAGGCAATGAAAACTTTTGAAACCCATGCTGCCAACATCAAACAGCAAGTTTTTAATTAGTTTATCAATCCATTAATGAGTTTTCAGCGTTTCATCCTCTGTGTACAAAGTAGTAGAATTTTTAATACTGTGGCTATTTTCGTACAGCGAGGATTTGGTTGCTYTGTTTTGGTCAACTATTGCTCTGAGGCATCACCTCAATCCTCCAACCTGTGGATCAGTTCAAGCAAGGAGCAGCCTGATGCTGACCAGGTTTGAGGAGTTTCTTTGCAACGTCACTGTGGAAAGAAGAGATCAGCTGAACTAACCCTCTTCTCTCCTTGTTTCTGACTCAGGCAAATGAACAACTGTGCTTAAATGAGCATATGTATCTTTTAATCAAATATTTTTCAAATCTAAATTGTAATTTGTCTCTGTGTTTTTCACAGCTACTCCCCTTGARAGGGCTTTTGAAAATGCTTTATCTCTTCTTTTGCCCTTTTTCAACAAAACTTGTGCTAATGAGTTTGGTGTCTTTCACCAAAACTGAGTTCACTTGTTATGATTCCTCACAAAAACAAGAAACACAAAACCAAAAAAGTATGTTTTGATGAATTGTTTCATGTTCATCTTTCTCAACCAAATGGTTTTGTTTTTTTTTTTACTATTTCTCTATCCTGAGACAGGCACCTACTGATTTCCCAGGATGTAAACTTGCATTGTTCCTGTGCAAGCAGTAAAGCAGCTGATTTATACAGCTGAGCATATGGCCTGTTGTGTACAACACAGCATCGAGGGGAACCAGCGATACTCCATCTTCTGCTTTTGGCAATGTTTCTTTTTCCTGTGCTTCCTGGGCTTTCTCTCTCCTAGCCAAACCCTTGATGTTACAGTAAATTAAAATGTAAATATTATTTTGTTTTTGCAGTTAATAGTTGTAGGTCAAATCACTTTTCATTAGGCTTGTAAAGTTCTACATGAAGAGATGTGTACCCTAAGGTAATGGTTTGAGTTGTTTATATCTACTGTACATTTTCCCCAACATGATTTTGAATTGTATCCTGTTGTAATTAAATAGAAAACCCACCCTACTTCCTGTGTGTTGGTGGCACCGAGGTGATTTAAGTATGCGGGAGGCTCAGCAATTAAAGTCATTAAACAACAAGTAGTGAACAAAACTGGAAATGTTAATAGCCTTAGTCTTATCTTTCCTTTTCTGGTCTTCATTAGAGAATGAAAGACTTCAAAAGAAAGTGAAGAATAAAACCCTCTTTTAACTGCTTTCATGTCATAGGATGGACAAAGAGAAGCAAAAAACTAGATATGGGAATTTCTTTAAGAGGCACAGAGAACTATTAAAGCTTACACACAGAAATATGAAGCAAAATAGTCAGATGTGGACAATCTGATATCTGTCATTTTTTAGTGATTCTAACCTGGAGACRTGAGCAAAAATAGTTGCCATTATTCATCACCCAAGCTAGTAGCAGATATCAATGAGAAGATTGATTTTCTTTTTTTTTTAACATAGCATGATCAATTAAACTGAAAAAAAGGCAAAGTTTCACTTTAATGTTGACTTTATGAATGGGCTTTATTTTTGTTTATGTGTGGCATGTACCCTTTGGTTCTGCATACATCACTGTGGTGAAATCAAGGGAATGATGTGGATGAGAGAACTGTGCCCAGTTAATTAGATGGGAGCTGCACTCATACACCTAGGGGGAGGAATCCAATGATCTGGGGGGAGCTGAAAGGAAAATTAAATGCTTGGAGTTTTGGGTGAACCCACACCCATTCAATTGCAGTTATTACTCCTCTTCCTCAGGAAGGAAAGCCAAAGCTGTTCCAAATCCCAGTCCGCTTAAGACTAACGGGTGAGCAAATTGCCCGTAGAAATGTGTACCTTTTAAAAATACCTAAGGAACAATCTACATGAGCTAAATCTGTACCTGGATGCAGCTGTTGCTCTTGAGGACAGTTTTCCTGGCACCTGTCAGTTGTGTTACTGATGTTTCATACTTAAAATGGTGGGCCAAACATATTAACTGGAAGGGTGGGAGCCAGTGAGTGAACTCCTCTTCACTGAGATGTAATCTGCCACTTTTGTTTTAAGCAGCCCGTGTCGTCAGTGAAGATTTTCCAGATGCTGTAAAGCCTGTCAGCTCCAGTAAGCCATGTGACCTTCACAGGGAGCTTGAAGATGAAGAGATTCCTTCATATATCGAACAGTTTGAGAGAGATGTTCAGGGTGACATAATTCTGCTTGGCAGCTTTTCACTGGAACAGGTCAGAGTTAAGAACTATAAGACAATTTTATCGCTTGCTTCATAACATGATGCTGGCTTGTTAACCTTGTACACCCCAATTCTATTTCTCTGCCTGGTGATACATATATTGAGAGAGGAAAAGATAACCATTGTCATTGGCATGCTTTATGTGACTGGCACTTTGCTAAGCTAACACCAGGACCTTTATATTTGTCTCTGTTTCAATGTGAATAAAAATAGATTGCCTTCTTTGCTTCTTTCCTAAATAGTGGAGTATCTCTGACTGCTGTGCAGTAATATTGCAATTGAGTTTCAATCAAGAGACTAAGTCTAGGACATCTCTCTCTGCCACATTTAACAGCGGCTTATTCATCAGGGAGCAAGTTCGGGTTGGAGCCCAGGGAGGATTTATGTAGCAATGTTCATTGTACAGAGGGTAAGATTATTCCCCCATTATAAATCTGTAATGTTTTTCAGGGTGGCAAAGATTCCTATGGTTTTCTTTTTTCTCATTTATAGCATAAAGAGACAGTTTCTGGTTCATGTTGACAAAGGCACAWGTTTTCAGGGCTGAAATGATACTTGTGGGCACCTAATGACCATTTGTCCCTTTGAAAAATCTCATACTAAGACTAGAGGACAGGAAGAGAGATTAATTGATGAATCTATCATTTTTAATTAGCAACATGAGAACAGCGCACTGGCTCTGATGGGCTTAAAATAGGTTATCCAGTGACTGATGGTGATCTAAGCTTTCTTTTATTTTCAGGGGAAGTTTTTAGATTTTTTTTTTTTCCCCACTGCAGGACTGAACCTTATCATTGCCTTTTGCATGGCAATTCTCTTCCTTACTGCTTTCCTCTAAATCCTGTTGCTATATTTCATTCCTTCTGACTTCTTTATGCATGGAGGGTGGTATGGGTARTACTGCTCAGAGAATGTGAAATGGAAGGGAAACGTGAGGGAAAAGAACTCTCAGATGGTGCTGAGAGCCTCTCTGCCTCAAGAGACTGATGCAGTATGAACCTGGCAATAGGTGAACTGTGAGTGCTGTGCCTTTCCAGAATGTGTTGAGAGTTCACATGTTTGGGCTGTTCAGATTCCCTCAAAGGTTGATGTGGCTCTGTGACACCTGAAGGAATACAATAGATGTGTCAGTATCTTTTTACCCTCCCTCTAAACATGGCCATGTGGCTGATCATCTTACTTGGAATCTTTTAGGAGGTGTTCGGTGGAGTTTGTTTCCTAGACAGRAATCTATCTGGTCACCCCAAAACARCATCCAGCTTTTTAACTGACAGCTACATAAGYGAATTTATGTGTAATACAATACAGTGCATTACTGCTTTTCTTCTTTATATTATACCAAAAGAAAGAAAATCCTCATTTAATCTGATTGATCGACGTGATCTACGGTTTCAGAGTTTTCAGAGAGGGACTCATACTTTTCTTTGCAACRAAGAGGTCTTGAATGCCTTTATTTTCTGTCCATTCCTCTCACACATCTCTAACTTCAGTTTTTCATACCCTGCTAAGGAATTTAGTCCCACTGACATGATATTGGCAGTCACATCTGCATCCTGTGTGCAATACAGAGGGTAAGAAGAGGATCACTGTAAAATCTGTATTGATCATAAAACCATATATTGATACAAAATCTTCTAGATCAGCAATCTATACATCCATCCTTTTCTCAAAAGCCTACAGAAATGGTGTATTCAGCCCCTTGGAACAGAAAGTGGAAGAAGTGGCACTGGACAGGTGTTGGTAGTGGCAGGGGAGCTACAGGGATAACTTGTGTGAGAAGCTGCCAGAAGCTTCCCCYGGGTCTAGCAGATCCAATCCCTGGTGGCTTCAGTATGGACCCAACACTGGGCCCATTAGAAGTGGTGGTAATGCTGCTGTGAAAACATATTTAAAGAGGGGAAAAAAAAATGAAAGAAAAAAAAATAAAGCAAGCAAGCTAATGCTCAGTTCTAACTGTGGCCAGAGAAAAGCAGAGTGAGAATATGTGAGAGGAGGAAGAGCCCTGCAGACACCATCTGCTCTTCCCCTGTGRAGGAGCCCASACCAGAGCAGGTGAATGCCTGAAAGGAGGCTGTGATCCTGTGGGAGGCCCATGCTGGGACAGGGTCCTGGCAGGGACCTGCAGACCTGTGGAGGAATCCATGCTGGAGCAGGTTTCCTGGTAGGACTTGTGATSCCATGGGGGAGCACCTTGTCCTTGGAGGACCTCATTGGATGAAAGAGCAGTTTGTGGAGAACTGTTGCCATGGGATGGACTCACGCTGAAGAAGTTCATGGAGAACTGTTTCCTGTGGGAGGGAGCCCATGATTGAGCAGGGGAAGGACTTCCTTGAGCAGTGGCAGGAACAACCTGTGATGGCTTGACAGTAATATCCACCCACTTCCTGTTTCCCTGGGCTGCTGTGGGGAGGAGGTAGAGCTGGAAAGGAGGGAGGGCTGGAAGGAAGATRYATTAAGGTCTCATTTTACCCTAGCYTTTTGTTAGTAATAAATTCAATAAGCATTTCTAGTTCTAGCCTGTTTTTCCAGTGATAGTCTTTAGTAAACGATCTCTCATGGTCCTTACCTCAACCCATGAACCCTTCATTACATTTTCCCACCCCTGTCCTTTTGGAGAGGGGAGTGAGAGAGAGCTTTAGTGGGTACCTGGCATCCAAGCATGATCAACCCACTGAAGTCAAATTGGTATTCAAAGCAATTCTCTAGCAATAATGTGAGCATGCTAATTCTTKTTTAATTGATCTTCTTTATTCTTTAATGGACATCTTCAGTCTTTGGTGAATGGGTACACCCCTGCAGCATTGCAGTGTTGGTGCCTTTCACAACAGCTGCAGGTTCATTGTTAGACTGCTGYCGTGGTCCTCAGGATCTGCTGCTGCCAGCTTTGGGATACTTCCAGCTTTTGTTGCTTGAATGTATGTTTATTGGTTTGTAAAAGTCTTTAATTTTGTGCATGGCATTTWCTTCTTGCTCAGTAGGAAGAACTCTTCCTTTCTCTCTGCAGGTTTTGTGAGTAGCAAATGTACTTTAGCCAGCATAATTTATGATTAGTTAATTTAATCTGCCATAATGACATAAAGTGAGCTTGAAACAAGCTCCTATCAATTTTGCCATTAGAGGTAGCATAATATTTTCAAATGTCTACAAAACGGAGTCATTAACCCTTGGGCTGAGTAAAGGAGTCTAATAGACATCTCCCTCACATGGCTTTGTTTTGAAAAAATGAAAAAAATCCATGGAAGCCCAAGGGTTAAAAATACCAGGTGAGAGTTTACAGTAGGTGAGACTGATATTATAAGTGAGGTTTAGAAACACATTTGAGTTGCTGCTGTTTCTCTTTAGCCTGCCAAAAATTCTCTCCAATGAGGCACCAGATTTACACTGGAGCCCTGCTGGAAGTGTTGGCATGAAAAGGATAGCTATGTATTAGCTATCCCTTAGTTAATTTTTTTTTTTTTTTTTGGTTTGTAGCATCACAAATAATGGGTGGCTTTTGTTTAAGCAGCACCTCAGTGCAGGATATGTTCATGATTCAGAGCTTTTGAATGAGTAGGTGCATTTTCCAAAATAATATTTTAATAATTTAAAAAGGGTTTATGTTAGATTTTAGCTCTGGAACTTTAAGCTGTGTTGTTTCTTACTTCATGCCCTGCTTTGTAAATTTAAAAACAGAGAGTTGAAGTTGGCAMGAAATGCGTAAGGGGAGATCTGGTAGATTCTTTTAAGGAAAGCATTAAACAGATGTCAATGTTCTGTTAACAAACACATTAAAGAATATTGAATTTGGAAAGCAGTGCTGTTTCGTGTGGCCTGCCATGTAGACCCAAGGATTTCAAAGGCCCCAATGACATGTGCTTTCAATAAAGAAAAATAAACTCTGTTGCAYGAAAAGCATAACTTGGGACTGTGTTGTGGTAGAAACTGAGCAGGTACAGCCAGGACTGGATATGCAGAGCGCCACAGAACTATTTGTCATGAGGCAGTGCAGGGACGTGTACTTATGGGTGGAACTTGACTGCAGGACAGAGGTATATGCAAGGAAAGACCTTAAATAATGCTGACTTAGCCTGTTTGATTAAGGATCAGGTGCTCTCAAAGCATGACAGACTGCTGAAGATGGAGCAAACAGTGGTGATTGGGGTGAGATTGCACGTGATGGGCTTTTGGCAACATAATCTTGCTATACAGTAAGCTAAATGCCATGGAAAAATACCAGCTCTGGGATTTTCAGCTGTTTCTAAACTGACAATAAAAGTGACTACTTAGTTTTATATAGGATCTTTCAGAAAAAGAAATAATAATGGGTGACTGAAAGGATCAGTAGTGCCCCCCAAGTGAAGAACATCTTTCCGTTTTGGCTACCCTCCTCCTGCAACTTCATCAGTATTCTTTACTGGGRGTAATTTGTTCACAGCCTCTGTCTCTCTCTACCATTTTCAGCTGCTACATTTAGTCCTCTGTGCGGGGCACAGCACCTTGCAGGACTTGATCATCATAATGATATGATCAGTTTTGWTCTATGACCTCAATGTAAATTACTCCAGAGCCTCTGAAAGTACAGTGTAAGTTTTGCTCTTCAGTACCAGCAGTTGAGTTATAGCAGTAAGAAATGAGCTATTTGTTGCAGGTAGATGGTAATAAAATGTTGTCTTTCACCAGAAGATTTACTTTTTGGTTAAACAAAGGTTAATGCCTTGGGTTATTAGCTCTAATACTCTTACAGGGTCATTATCATCCACTGCTCTGACTCCTTGACAAGTCACGGAGATCAATTTATATGATRATGGAGTGATCAGTTTTCCTTTCATTAATAGTGGACAGAACTTGGGTAAAATTTGGTGCTATGGTAAATTTGGTAAGATGGTAAATTTACTCTTCAATCATGAATTTAACCAGTGGGATCAGGCCTCAGTGATGTGAAACACCAACACACATTTGCTTGCAGGTTCTCCCCCATTGGATAATGCTGCCAGAGAATCATATTGCAGAATG